TAACCTTTTCTTTTATGCTCAATCAACACTCAAGTGTCTATAAGTCAGTTTCCATAAATGTTGGTGTTATTATTATTATTATTAAAAGAAACAATTGCTGGAAGACTGAAACATAAATGTTGGTGTTATTATTATTATTATTATTATCAATATCCCGGTGCCGTTTGACGCGCACCTTCCGGCAACCCCTGGTCGCACTCAGGTATTGGCCGAAATTTGAAATTCTTAATATGTCATTGGAGGGTTTTAATTAGGCTTGCTTAGTTTGGTTAAGTGCTGACTTTTGTTGGTTTCTGTATGATTTCTGATTTTGCTGTGAGCTTTGTTTAAATTTCGTTGAATTTTAGTTGGAACTTTGTGTTATGTGTCGGTGTAACTTTGTTGATATGTTCCAAACAATTGCTGGAAGACTGAAAGTTTAAATCTTTGTAATTGTAAGTCTGCAATTGTGTGGATGTGAATCGAGAATGTCGCTGATATTTATTTTTTGAGTATTACATTTGCAGTTTCTAATACACATTATATTCATACACTAGAATTGGCCTTACACATGCTACAAACACTTTGACGTCTGACAACTCACACCTCACTAGAATACAAGTACTAGGATGCTCGCTCAATCTTTTGCCTCGCCTTAAGTGCTCTCGTGTGTCAGCTCGCACTCGCTCAATGAGTTTGTGAATACTCGAATATATGTTATGCCAAATGAATGGCTTATACTCTAATATATGTTATGCCTATTTATACGCCTCGGTATGCAACTCTCAACTGCCTAGCATGTGCTCGAGAAGTGCTCATCAACCTCTTCCACGTGCCCACTTGTGTCCACACTCGCCTGGTACCAACTCAGCCCTAGCCCGTTCAGTCCTCAACCATCTGCGCATTTATCTCATTACTGAGCCCACTTGGTAGCAATCCTCAAACATATCGACTTTCTCTCGCACAAAGCCAACCAGGCCTTGCCACCCGATCAACAATGTTTCCAAACCCTAAGGGTCAAAACAAATTGCGTCCATCTCGAGTGCCCGTGCCTCTTCAGCTTGGTCCATAAAAGGTCTCGTATATTTTCTCACACGTGGAATTTACTCGGCCAAACTTTGGTTAGCACCCGTCTCCATGTTTCTAGGAACCAACAAACGTCTCGTGGGCACATGTGGCCGGACTTGCTAGCCCGCCACGTGTCTGTTTGTAACCGTCCCTGCAATACTCGGACAACCGAGTCCAACTCTTTTGCCACGTGTCACCGCATGTTATTAGGCATTTTTCGAACCCTAAGAGTTAACAACTACCAGCATGACTATCGGTCTCGAGCCAGCTCAGCCCGATTAGCTCGCCGAGCTAGACACCTCGCACGTGCCCGCTTTTCTCGGACACTTCTAATGAATGGGCTTAAATGGTTGATCAAAGATTGAGACATGGATAATATTTGTCCACCTTAATGACCATAGTGGGCTGCGGGCCTTTATGGTCCATTTAAAGAAAATGTGAGTTCAGCGTCACAATTTTATACTGTCTTTTCCCACCCAAAAGATGTCCAAACTCCAAATTGAACAAAAAATTATTTCCAACACATCACAAAGAAATAAGGGAAATTTTCATCTATCCTACAAGATTTTAAAAATATTGCAAAAATACAATCCATAAACAAATAATTACATCTCTCCTATTATGTAATACATAAAAACATTAATGTATAAAGTAAGTTACCATATTCATTCAACTTCTATCTCCCTTTTTGTAGGCTTGATTAAGAGAGAGAAATAAAAACATATATTGTAATTCACGCGGCCGTCAGGTGGTATATTTTGCGTTTATGTTGGTATATATTCAGTATATGTTGCAATGAAAAACGTGTCTTCCATCAAAAAATAATGTTTTTTTTTTAAGACATAAAAATATATATAAACATATTATAAAGTTACGTATATTCCCATACAAACAAATCTTCTAATTATATATACTCCATATACACACAACATACACTGAATAGTTTACAAAAAATCTTTTAATATACTGAACATATACTCCACATACTAGTATGTACCCGTGCGATGCACGGTGGGCGCATAACTTAAAACATATTGAAGTACTTATTTTAAATGTAATTAACAAAATTTAACATCTAATTATGGAAACAAAAAAATAAAAAAAAAAAAGAAATCATATATTATTAAAAACTTCTCTGTACACAACATTATTTGTTTGGTTTGGGGGCAAATCATGTTCACCATATATTAGAATTTTCAAACCCTTTCTGTTGGTGACGCGCGAAACAGCAACATATAACTGGCCATGACTGAAAACTGGTTTCTTCAAGAATAAACCAACGTGAGATAAGGATTGACCCTGACTCTTGTTAATAGTCATTGCATAAGAGACCACGATAGGGAACTGCCTTCGTTGAAACTTAAAAGGTACTCTTGCATCGGAAGGAGTTATCGTCATTCGAGGTATCAACACTTTATCCCCTGCATGGTCGCCCGTAAGTATCCTACATTCTAGGACATGATTGGAGAGTCTTGTTACAACCAAACGTGTTCCGTTGCACAATCCCATAGAATGATCCATGTTCCGCAACAGCATAACCGGAGTTCCCACCTTCAGATGCAACTCATGATTTGGTGTACCAGAATACTTGAGAGAATTTAAGAACTCAGGAGTGTGGATTTGTGACAAGAAGTCAGAATCTAAATCGGATTTACACGTACTGTCGGAGCTCAAATATACACGACCTTCTGTTAGATTCAACGACGACATGTATTGGTTGATAGACTCAACGATCTCCAACGTAGGTGCAAGTATGGCTCTGTCCTTCAGATAACTTGGATCATCTGTTGCGTTCTTGAACATTGGATACGTGCTCTCAACAATTGCAGCAATGGGGTCATCGGATGGTTCTATTAATAGATCATCTGGTATTTCAATGGAGGCACAACCATCGTTAACACCTCCAATAGTCCCATCTCCGATGCTAGCAATCCAATCAGCAAATTTAGAAAGTTCCTCACGTTCATCTGAATCATCAAGGCTCTGAAGACGCATGTTCTTTGTTAGCCTAAGCACGGTACAATCTTGCCAAATGGTTGAAGCATTTATCGAAGCATTGACAATCTGTTGACGGTTCCCCTTTGGAATCACCGGGAGGATTTGTCGAAAATCTCCACCAAAAACAACAGTCTTGCCACCAAACGGTTTATAATGGTTCATCGGGTTGACCGTTCCCATGATCGCCTGAAATGACGTTTGAACAGCTTCGA